TCATGATTGTGTGGCAGCTAAGCATCGGTAGAATTATCGATGTACTGCTGTCTATGATGATGATGATGAATTTAATTCAGTGATAATAGTGGAGTTTTGATAGTTAGTTAACAATACTCTTCCAAGATGAAAATATTCTCTTGGTTTCTCTTCTGTATTACTTAATGTATAGTTCTACAATTGTAAGTAGTTTTTGTTCTTTTCCCAAAGATTCTCCAATTTATTGGATTAGATTTGGTTTTAATTAATAAGGTTAAAGTTGTCAAGTTAGGTGGAATTTAATATGAGAAATCCTAAGCACTTCTTTCCCCAGCTGTAATTAAATGATATTTTTGAGTAGTTCTTGTATTTCTAGACTTGATGACTAAGGAAAAAGTATAGTTGAAGTTCTTGAATTGTTTTTATTGAGTATTTATATTGAAGTTATAATGATATTTTATAATCATACGCATATCACTGGTATTTTCAGTTTTTCATTACATAAGGTAGCATTTACTTGCTTTAATTCATTTAATTTCAAAGTAAGACACCTAACTTTCACATTAAAGAAGTTACTGACCACAGAAAATTTTGGAACAAACAAGTCTCTATATTTTTTAAGTATTTGATAATTTTTGTTTAACAGAAATTTGATGATTTAGTTTAATTCATCTCGTTGTAGGATGAGGAAGAACTGCAGATTCTTTCCAGTAAGCATGTTAATGGTGATAGTGGTGTGGATATCCAGAGTGAGTCAATGGTTATTGTAGGCAATGACCCTCAGACGTGGTCAGTATATTCTGAGAAAACCACAGCTATGTGTAAAGCCTCTGGGAGTAGCAGTGATTCTCAAAAACTCAATGCTTCTGATCTTGGTGCCTCTCAAAGTACAAGTCAAAATGGAGATTTAATAGCAAAAACACGAGGTGGGGGTGATTGTGCTCCAGGAAAAAGAATGTCCAATCCTTTACAAGCTAATCCATCTGGCCATGCTTCTGGTCGCCACACAAGAGGTGATTTAAAGTTTCTACATCTTTACTGGATTTTGTAATTTGCTTCTTTTATAAAAGTTTATTTTTTTCTGTCTCTAATATGTTAAAACACTTCACATTTAAAACCAAGTTTAAAAAAATGTCTCTAGCACTAATAATAATTCATTTAAGCTATGCATTTTAGTTGAATCTGCTGCAAATTCTTTGGGACGCTCGATATATGTATATTAGAATAATATTGCTATGTAAAAGAAAATACTAATTCATAATTATGTGTTCTGAAATTTAAATAGGCAATTTTTATCAGCAGTATCTATTCACGTTTAGAACAATTTTTTTATATTTTTACAATTTGTAAAAAATTGACTTTTAATTTATTCTGCAAAAAAAATTGTTGAAGGCAAAGATAAAACAATTTAAGAATAGTATTTTAAAAGAAAGGCTCTGCTTCTTTTTAACTTTTGATTTTCCAGAACAGTTTTATTGAATTACTCAAACTTTAATTGGCTTTCTTTTTTAGCAGGTGAGTTATAATTAAAATACTAATATTTTTATTTATTGATGAAAGTGGTACCAAATATTGGTAGTTAGCATTAAAAGTTAGAAATCTTTACATGTACTACTGCTGACAACAGTAAATAAAGAATAGGTTAATGCTATTTGCAGTCAGTTTCTATGCGATGTTTTTAATCATGATTTGCTGGGGCTTTCCAGGTTGAAGTATAATATTGTTCGGTGTATTTTGATCTATAGTCACATACTTATTATAATCTTGAGAATAATAAAAAAGACAAATTTCAAGAGCTGTCTAGGGATATTAATATAACTTAAATTCATAAAATCTATGGACAAATACAGAAGTAGAAAATGTAAACTTTAGCAATAATCTTAGCCTAGTCAGCATTTTGACATAAATTTTAGTTCTAAAGTGCCTTTCGTTTCTGAGCCATTTAATCAAGAAATTCTGGATTTTCTTCCATTTCCTTTGTATATTCTAATTTAACAGTTTCAATATGTTTAATAAGTATGCATCTCTATTGTAAAACCAATAGTTTCCTCATTTTCTGACTGTTTGTATTATTAATGGTGCACACACACATATTTAGTTCTGCAAATTATTTTTGCCTGTTAATAGTGTAATAGTTAAATAGTTATTAAAAATAAACCTCATTATAAGGTATTTGGGAGATCACTTTACTTTTTTACTGTTTTAGAATACCGAGAAAATATTTTTGTGAACTCGAATTATGTGCTACCTGTTTGTTTTATCATGCGCATTAGTTATCATTAGAGAACTTGAAAAAAAGGTAGATAGTTGTAGAAAGACTTAACGTAAGAGTGATTTCTCGGTTAATGTGGACAGTATTGGTTATTTTAACAACAGGTATATGTATCTTTGGAATACGTTTGCTAACTAAATATTTATAAACTTTCTTATCAGAATCAGGGACTGGTAGTCATCGAGGTCAACTCTTGCACTTTAATAGTGCTTGTGGAAGCAGTGGGCAAGATGGAGCTGGCAGATCTCATCCAAAAGAAACATCATCAGATACTACAGAGCAACTGGCCCTTGCTATTTTACGGCTCCAACATAAGTTAGATGAGGTCATCAGTAGACTAGATACATTGGAAACTTTACTGAACCAGCAAGAAAGACACAGGGTAAGTTTTTACTTTAGTCTGAATTCATATTATTTTTCACAGTGATATAATACAATAATTATTTTGCAATTTGTTTATGATGCAAGTTTTTACTTACTGAAAATTGTCATTATATGTTTTATACAATACTTGAAAGTTACTGAGAAACTTGTACTAAGTCTAAATTTTCATCTTGTCTCAAAATTTCTCTGTATCTTACTTGAAGGTATAAAATGTAAATTTATATATTTTTTTCCAACATAGTAACAATATTATTTTTAATTAAACTCTAATTTTCATGATGCTAAACATTAAACAAATAGAAAAAAAATGCAACTGCTTTTAAAACTCAACCTTATGAAATACTTCATCTTGGCTAAAAAGTAAGTAGTTTGTTCTTGAAGGTTATATTGTTATCATTAAACAGCATAACTAGTTGTTTTTTATTGAGTATTGCTCGTTATGTGACATTGTAATTATAACTGATTAGAGTCATATATGTTTAATACTGCTGAAAGAATTCAATCTCTTCATAAAAAGATTGAATTACTTCACCAGAATATATTTTCATTTTAACAAAACCATTCAGTAGCAGAAGTAGTTGTGTTATGTTTCAAATATAAATTTATATTAATTACAATACATCATGTTTGTAGTCAATGTTTTTGTTTTAACCTTTTCATGTTTTGTGGTTTCAAATTTTCGAATTTATGAATTAGTTGTCAGTATTATTAATATATATGTATGTCTGTTATTTATTTTATTTATTGTCACTTAAGAGTAGGGATAATTAATTGTATTATAGATATAAAAAATGATTAAAATTCAAACACACAGAATTTAATTGTTGGAATTGTGTACTGTGTAAAAGTATCTAGCTAAACAAGTCTGTCTATATGAGTCTGTTTTGAGCACTACATTCCCATACATCAAGATTAGTACAATCAAAAGCTGTGCTGAATATTAAAAGCATTTTTTGTTATAAGATCTCACACTGTATTTCCTTATTATGAATGCTTAGTATGTAAATAAAGGGAATTCCAAACGTATATGTTTTGAATTTGAAACAATTCCATTTTTATTAAGTTAACAACATCATTTTATTATCAAAACACATTATCAAATTACAGTTGTGATTAATCCTTATGAAATAATTGATACAGTTACAAATGAGGCATCTGATGATTAAAAAAATTATTTCATGATAATAAAAAGAAGCAAATATAGAAGTCTAAGTACTCAAATTAACTTTTTTATAGTATTTTTTATTATTTGAACCTTTATTTTTGGAAATATGTTGTGTATTTAATCTCCTATCTTAGAAAAATTTCAAAATATTTTAAAATATCTGTGTGCTAGGCGAAGATAGCTGGTTACCAGGCCCAAATGCCTGGTAATTGCCATGAAGTTAGCAATGGGAAAGAACAGTTTAAGACACTGCTAGATGCATTTTAATGAATTCTGAACAATCAATGGCCAGGTGGTTAAGGCATTCCACTCGCAATCTGAGGGTTGCGAGTTCGAATTCCTTACCTACCAAACATGCTTGCACTTTCAGTCATGGGGACATTATAATGTGACAGTCAGTCCCACTATTCATTGGTAAAAGAGTAGCCCAGGAGTTAGTGGTGGGTGGTGATGAGTAGCTCCTCCCCTCTAGTCTTTCGCTGCTAAATTAGGGACTGCTAGTGCAGATAGCCCTCGTGTAGCTTTGCACAAAATAGCTTTACGCAAAATTAAAAAAAAAAACTAAACTGAACAACCACTTCTGTTTAATCATGATGTTAGTACAATGTTTTAGAAGAATATTAAAATAATGTGACACAATCAATAAAATTGACTGATGCTGCTTTAATTTCACTTGTATTAATGGGGGGAGGGAATGCAAATTGTCTATTGCTCAGGTTTGTCCCTTTTTTTGGGTTTGTGAACCAGAAACAGCAGTACTTGGCTTCGACAACTTATCACTCTCACCTCAAAATACATTTTTCAAATGTTTCTAATATTTCATGCTCTAAATCTACCTATCTTTTTTGTTTTTTTGCTATAAAATTGAGCATAGTACTCTGTCACTTCATACTGCATGTTTGTAGCTTAGTGACCTATGTGAACAGATTGGCAAATCCAGTATACTTAACATAATACAATTGGCTAATTTCTGACAGGTCATGCTCTATAAATCAATCAAATAATGTGTCAAATACCAAGTGTAAAATCTCTATCCCAGTGTTTCTTGTGGATAGCTTCCAAGTGAGCTTTGTAATTGGCTCTAGAGCATGGTTACTTCAGCCAGACCTAAACTTCCTGTCCCAGGTGCCAATCTGAAACAAGTAACACACTATTAACATACATTGGAGAAACATTAATTGAAGAATATTGCATATCTATAATGTGTAATAGCTTTCAAAAATAAGGTTAGCCAGTGGTTATCACTATAGTAGCAGGCAATTTTCATCAATTGCTGGCTTAATTTAAAAGAACTGATCTTATCATCCTTAGTCCATCAAAAAAAAAAAAAAAATCAAAGTATCGCTTTTGTTGAACATCATTGTTACACTTAATTATAATGTTATATTTCTATTTTATTTATATAGGTTATTAAAACATTCAAATAATGTATTTGACTATTGTTGAAATGTTTAGTTTATTTTCCATAAGTATTTATTTTATTGTTGAACTTAACTGACAGATAAAGTTGAATTTTCACAGTGCTTGGAAAAATTAATTTCTGTATTTCATACATACTTTCTGTTTTATTAGAAAAACACAGAAATGTCTATTTGGTGGCCTTTTGGAAACCTTCCAATGCACACTGTCATGATAATTGCTTTGTGGCCATTTTTGACGCAGTGGGTTCTGATAGTGCTTCAAAGAAGACATCGTAAATAATTTGATGGAGCATGTTTTAAATAAAATCACTTATTGGGCCTGTTTATACCATAAAACAATTGATATTGTTGGCAGCCAAACTGGGTTGATGAATGTACTTTTGTCAGATTTTCTCTTCAATATATCTAATAAGATTTCATTACAAGCCTAATTTTGATTTTCTGTTTGGTAATACAGATTCAGTTTAAATCATGAATGAACTGTTCATATGAGTAAGATCTTGTTTTCAGAATATTTAGTGGTACAGTATTATGAATTTTGATTTGGCATTGCTAGATTATTTTGTCTAGAGTTTACATAAAAGTGGATATGAGCAATAACATTACTTATCAAGTTATTTCATAAGCTATATAAAATACTCATGTACACATAGATTTCTCAAATGGTTGAGGGAATGTATACATGTACATATATAACTGTTTGTGTCATTTATAGGATTTATGTATTTAAATAAACTTACATATTTGTCAAAAAAGTAAATATTTTAAGTATCAGGATTTGCTTTTAGAGTGAAATGCCAATAAAAAATGACAGTTTATTTTTAAACATTAAATTAATACTTGGTGTCTTATTAAGGTTAAAAGACAGGTTTTCAGTTAACAGTTGTTGGCTAACATAAAGTTCTTATTGATTTTATTAAATTTACATCAATAAAATAAAAATTAGGCACCTAATTTGAGCCTTAATTTTGAAAATATATTAGTAGACTGTATGATCCAATTGTGGTTCTTCTTGAGGCCTTGCACTTGTTCAGGCCACAAATGAATACCGTCCAGTTGAAAAATACCAACAAATGAATTGTTTTTAATCTTTCAACTGAAATAAAGTGAACTGATTTATTAAATTTACAGTTCTTATTCATAACTTGCACATATTTTTTAGATGCTATTTTTTTGAGAAAATTGTGAAAGCTAATTTAAAAATTTGAAAAGCTAGTGATGAGTACTGCAGGGACAAACAAATTTGATTATTAAGATGGTCTCTGTAACTTGCAACTTTTACAGTGTATATAAATAAACACACACACACACACATATATCATGGACTTTAGTTTTATTATTATTATTAGCTAAGACTTGGATCTGTAGTTAATATGATTAGTTTTGTCATCAACAAAGTACAGAATCTCATTTAATGGTTAGTTTTATTTGTACTTAAACATTACATAGGGTGGGTCTCTACTTAAAATGATTGATTATATACAATAAACTAACTTTAGGAATTTTAGAATATTTTATTTTTGTTATTATTTAACTAAATATCTGACCATGAGTACCTTAAATCCCTAAAGTGAGAATTGAATATTCATCATTAGTGATTGTATGCAATACTCAGGGCCTGGCATAGCCTGGTGGTTAGAGCACTTGACTCGCAATCTGCTTGTCACAAGTTCAAGACCCATTACTGAACATGCTAGTCCCTCTTAGCTGTGAGGATGTTATAATGTGACAGTCAATCCCACTTTTCATTGGTACAAGATGTGGAGGTGGATGATATTGACTAGCTGCTGTCTCTGTAGTTTATCATTTCTAAATTAGGGATGGCTATTGCAGGTAGTCTTCTAGTAGTTTTCACGAATTTCAACAAACAAGCAAGCATGCAACAATCAACATGAGGAGTTGTTTTACACAATTCTGTTATAATTAGCCTTAAGCACAAACATGAAAAGTGACTGCTTGAGGTCTTATGCTTTTAGTGGCCTTACACTACTCGGTTAAAAATAAAATTTAAAAATGAATGCGTATTCATTGTTAATATCTCTCTCAAGTTGAAATAAAATATATTAAATTTATACCAATAAAATATAATTGGGTAAATAATAATTAGTAGACTGTATTATCCAATTGTGGTGTTTCTTGAGGTTTTGCACTTGTTCAGGCCATAATTGAATACTGTTCAATTTAAAAATACCAACAAATGATCTGTTTTTTAATCTATCAACTGAAATACAATGAATAGATTTATTAAACTTACAGTTGTTATTCTTAACTTTCACATATTTTTGAGATGGCATTTTTTTTTGCTAAAATTGTAAAAGCTAATTTAAAAGTTTGAATAAATTTATATATATAGGGTTGATAACATCAGAGCATTATTTATATGATATAAAAAAAAAGAACAAACATAA